ATTACAATTTTTATAAAATTACAAAATTAAAATTTTTGTCCCAATGCACCCTTTTGCTGTGGGGGTCCCCATATATACTATAAATATAATAAATTTGACCTCTATAATTAGCACACTTCTCTATAATCCCGCTTTTTTGTATCCCATGGGTGTGACTATAGAGAGATTGATTTTTATATGGTACGTACGTACTACACAGTTTTGATTTACATAGTCTACCGAACACCCCAGTGTTTCTGATTGGATACAGAAATATGATACAGTCAACTCTGTCTATTCCGAACCGTCCATTCTTATATGTAAAATGGGTCAAAAAGTTCGGTTCTCAAAGAGGTATTATATGCCAATCCGAATTTTATAATAAAATTTACAAATGTTCTAGAGTTTTAAGAGAGAGTTTATTAAGGTTCGGATTAGAGAGAGGCAACTGTACTTTCAAAGCATCTTTGCTGAAAAAAATTATCGTTTCAAAAAATTGCCAAACACTTAGGTGTTAACATATCTTCTATAAGTCGGGTTCTCAAGGACTTTCAAATTTATGGATGTATTGAATAATTTTAGGAAACCACGTTTGTATCGACAAATTCTTAATTATATTTAACTTTTTGATTTTAGTACCTATTCATGTCATATGTTTATTTTAAAAGTTTATTTTATATCTGAGACCTAACTACAGTATTTTTACAATTTTTAGTATAAATTATACGTACGTATTTTATCCAAACTTAAATAACTTAACCATAATACGTAGCTAATTAATTTTTAGCCTTTAATTTTATGTTATATAAATGTGTTTCATACACTAAAATATACCATTTTAAATAACAAATTGTAAGAAAATAAGTGCTACTAGCGCTACGTAGCAACGTACCTATATACGTATTATTCGTATATAATATATACATATCAGATATAAGTTTGGTCTTACGAGTTACATAGTCTGAGAACAAAAAAAAATAAAGTTTATATATATTACGTAATTGATATAAAAATATAAATTTTATATATATACTTTTATTTATAGGTTATTATAGTTTTCCTCGGTTTTATTGGTCGCAAAGTAGTTCAGGTGATTAAATCATCAAAATACTGCAATAGGAAAGTTAAAGCGGAGACAGCGGAGACAAAGTAAGCAAGCCCGATTGTAGTAGGATACTTATCAGTTATGTAACAATACCAACACATACCTTAACATGGGATCTAAACCTAAACTCAAACTTAACTTATTTTTTGTCATTAAAAATTCTCACTTGTACTGTAACATATACATAATTGAGTGATTTCAAATAATTGAGCTAAAAGGATTAATATATCACATATCGATATTACATAAATATATATATATATATATATATATATATATAGTATAATGTATTGAGCTTCACCAATAAAATTACTATTTCTAAGATTCCACAAATCCCGAAAATCTATCGCTATTTATTAGAGAAAATGAATCATGAAAAACTAGTGAAGAAATAGAATCTGATTGGCAATCGATATTTTTCCTCGAATTAAAAGTTTAAAATAATAATGCTTTTAACCCATTTGAAACAATAAAACTGTTAATTACGCATAATAATCATCATTACCCATGTTTGAAAACAAGATTTCGCGTGAAACGCCATGCTTCATGCATTACCGCTATTCCACCAATACTAATACATATCTGTACATGATAGCATTTAAACATTTATGCGTAAATTAATGCCTTGAAACACCAATAGATAAATTTCTTTTGCATAAAGTAGATTCGGGAAATGATTGTCGGATTTGGAAATTTTCTTTATATTGAGGGTTTACATTTAAGAAATTTTTCCTGGTTTTTTTCTGTAAATTATGATATTATCTAATATATTTTTATTTAGGTATTAATAAAATCAGCTAATTTTGCATATATGCATAATAAATTAATCTTCTTTTTGAAACAACACTTTAAAGTTAGATCATACAAAAATATATAGAATTTGTACGTTTTTGCGCTTTACATTCGGTGCAAAAAATTTTTATCACTTCATGAAATATTTAAACCTTTAATCATATTTATATCTTTCATTTTACAACACATTTAATCATGGTTCGAGGTCATAATTTATCTATTGATACAGTTGCTGCTTCACGTGGACAAAGAACTACATCAAAATCCTCCCGTAAGGGAGCTGGATCGGAAGACGAAATCGATGATTATGATGATGATGCAACATTAGTGGATAACCATTCAGGCATCGACGATGATGACTATTTGACTTCTTCACCTTCAATTATTGAAGAAGAAATTGACTTTTCTCTAGTTTATGCTTTACATTCCTTTCAAGCAACGGTCGAAGGTCAAGCTACCGTTGTGAAAGGTGACTCATTAAGTTTGTTAGATGACTCAAATAGTTATTGGTGGCTAGTTAAGGTTTTGCCAAGTGATGAAATTGGATATATACCTGCTGAAACTATTGAAGTATGTTATAAAATTTCTTTATAAAGCTTTATTTATTCATTATCTAACTCGCTTCACGTGATTTTGCAGACACCATACGAAAGACTAGCAAGATTAAATAAACATCGAAATATTAGTGTAAGTGAAATTCTTCATAGTGCATCAGGAAATTTAAACCTGATTATAATCTGTCATAATTAATCGATTATAAAATGATTGATTTCAAGCGATTATTGGTGGTGTGATAATCGATTTAAATCAATTAATAATTGATTATAATCAACATAGATAAAATGATTAAATTAAAAATCGAGGTTTAAATTTTTTTAATATACGGTTAATTTTTATTCTTATCGATTATAGTCGATAAAAATTTTTCATCGCATCAATCGGCGTTGGTGATGAGAATCGTTTAAAATCACCAGATTTTAATTGATTATAATTAGAATTTAAATTTTCCTGATGTGTATACTGTATCTTACACATATAAAAAAAATTAATAATTACGACCCTTTAATACTTCTGGATTAAAGTTAACATCCGCACACAGCATTATTGAATCAGATAACTCGCTTCCTAAACAAATTCCAACAGATCAAGTAAAGGCCGTTACTTTTGCATCTCCGTTATTTTTTGTGGCTGAGGCATCCGATGATGAATATTATGAAGATGAAGAAGAAGAAGATGATGATGATGAACATTATGTGGGTAAAATTGAAGTAACTACACAATCAGTCGTACAGCATGAGAAAATAGACGATGATGTACAATTAGTAAATGAACCGGAAGAAATAAAATATGCTGATAAGCAAGTAATAAATCCTGAAAGTGATCATTCTCAGTCAAATTTGGGTCAAGATAATCATAGAGGATCTAGAGGATCTAGGGGATCTAGAGGATCTGATAATTCTGTTAAAGTAACAGAAAGTGAAATCGTTGAATTAAATGTTAAAAGAACGGATGATCAACAATATGAACAAGAAATAAATCAGCAGCATAGACAAGAGAATAGCCAACAATATAGGCAAGAGAATAAACAACAATATAGCCAAGAGAAGAATCAACAATATAGGCACCAATCACAACAAAGCGATGATATAAGACAGTCATCACAACGATCGCAATCATACCAAACGAAAAAGCAAACTGGACAATTAGAAAATAATTCGACATACGATAAATCTGCACATAAAATACAAGATGTTATAAATAATAAAAATGAAACCATTAAAATGTCACTGACTCCAGCTTTAGGTAGTGATTTCATTGATTTCTCGGATGAAGAAGATGAAGAAAATAAAATGAAGACAAGACCTGGTGGATCTTTCGAGCAAACGGGTAGTAATAGTGAGCCTACAAAAGTTAATATAACTTCAAGTGAACCTATTAAAAATGTGGAAGTATCAGATGATAAAAAATCTGGAAAACCGAAGAAAGAAGAGAAAAAGAAAGAGAGTGGCGGTATATTCAGAAACCTCTTTAAAAGGAAATCAAAGAAAAAAGAGGAAGAACCTGTAAAACAAGTTTCTTCCGCGCCATCCCCGCAAAATAATTCCAAAGTTCAACGTCCTGGCCCCTTGACAAATCAGCAACAACAATCTCCGCAACTTGGTTCCTCACCAAATCGATCATCTCCACAGATTGGATCTATAACAAATCGGCCACAAGTTGGTTCTTTACCAAATCAAAGTCAAGGCCAACAGCAATCACAAAGAAATCAGAACCCACAACATCAGATCGACCCTCGATCACGAAATCAATTTCAAAACCAAAATCAATCTCAAAATCAATCTCAGTTACAACCTCAGCTACAACCTCAGCTACAACCTCAATTACAACCTCAGTTACAACCTCAATTACAACAACGACAATCTCAACCATCTTCAAATCCACAACAATCCCAAGCACAACGTGCATCAAACAGAGAACATCCAAAAGTTCAACAAGTATCTATTAATGAGCCTCCAATTCAAGTAATTCAACGTGATTCTGGTCCAATTCAACAAGAGATCTTACAAGCTCCTGCACAAGATGCAGTTAAATCAATAAAATTAAAAAATTCTCCATCTCCCATAAGAGTTGTTCAACATACTCCATCTGAGAGATCAATTACTCCTTTGACCCCTCTTACTCCTTTTTACAATGTAATTCGAATATTTGCTGGTCAAAATATCTCATCAAATGAAGAATCAAAACTATTTTTATTAAGTCCAACTACAATCAGCTCTACACTCATTAAGCAAGCATTGCACCGATTCAAATTAGATGATGTAGAAGAGTGGGAAAATTATTATATAACGATCAAAGAAGCTGATAGAGGTAATATTTTAAATTTTCAAAAAAATAAAAATAAAAATAAAATAAAAATAGTTGTTTGCTTTATTTTTTTAATACTCCTTAATACAAATATTAATTTTTATTATTTTACATAGACCAAATTCATTTAATGCCTGACGATTCCCCACTTGAAGCCTTTCATTCATTGACATCTCATAACCCTGTCACATTACCTTCGATCAGGAGGAATTCTATTGAATCTATTTCTTCAACGACTTCAAGTTTATCTGATATCGATGAGATCAAAAAATTAGGATTACAGTATGAAAAAGGTGCTATTACTTTCTTTTTAAATAGACGTTCAAAAAGAAACAGTCGATCTTCAGGAGAAAGAAAATTACGTGTACGGGTATTGGTTTATAATGACGATTTACCCATTCCTTTAAGGAGCAACAAGCCACATGTACCAAGAACTTCTATGTCTGTTCCTAAACATCTTGCAGAAAAGGCTGCAAGACGACGCTCAAGAGAGGAAGGTAAACCTAAAGAGAAGATTGTTGTAGTTTCTGGACTTGCAACTGTTAGGCAAGTTATAGAAAAAGCTATGGAAAAATTTGAAATTATTGATGGAATTGTTGATGATGGTAAAAGTTTATCGGATAATGATGAAAAACCACGATATCAATTAATGGTTATTGTTGACGGAGAAGGTGAATATCCTCATTCTCTTACCATAATTTCCCAATACCATTTTCCAAAAAGGATATAATTCCAATAAAGTTAGCCGACATTAGCTATAATGTTTGCCGACTTTGTTGGTATGTTTTTTTTTGGAAAAATTGTACCAAAACCACCAAACTAACATTGTATATACATATTTGTTAGAAAAACCCCTTCCCTCCGAACTAAATGTAGTTTCGGTTTATCCAACGGCACCAAAGCTTCATCATATATCAGTAGATTCTATAGACTCATCATCATCTTTGGTATTGGACTATCGACCAGACGAACCAATGTTCGTTCTAAGACTTTTGCGACCTGAGGATCTTCAAGCACGTGCAATGCCTGTGGTTTCTAATATTGATTACAAAAGTCGAACACATTCACGTAATTTGAATAAACAAGACGAACAGAAAACTAATGATGATATAGTAAATACACGTAAACAGCTTATCGAACAGCAACGAGAATATAGCCGTGAAAAGCAAAAATCTATTCTTTCTGCACGTAAAAATACATCACAGGGTATTGATATTGTTACGAAAACTGGTGCAATTCGAAGTTCTCGAATTTTTGGCAACAAAGTTCGATATTCTTTTATTCCAACAAAAGGAAAAGAATTTGACATTAGTGATCTTATTGAAGATATTTGGGGTGATGATGATGAAACGTTAACTTCAGATGAACATAGTGACTCATCCCTCAATGATCCTTACAATGACAGACAAAACAATAAGAAAAAGGAATTTCGTAAAAGCACAACACAGGATGTAGACATTTTAGTGAAGATGATAAATCAAGCGCATAACAATAATGGAAATGTTATAAAATCTTTTGAGGAAAGAATTGAACGTGTATTGCAACAAGTTGATCGATATGGTAATGGTACGACGTCAAATCTTGCAACTACTTTACGTGAAGCACGAGAACAATCATTCCAACAAAATTCAATTATTAACCATTCACAAAAAGATGCACCAATACTTAATGAACGTTCTAATAGTCTATCAAGTAGTTGGTCTGTTCAATCACCAACACGTTCTACCGCCACTACCGATGATTTTAGTAATGATTTTGATGAAGAAGACAACGATTCAGTATCTGAATTGTACTCTTCAAGATTTAAAAATTTACCATCATTAACAATAGAAAGATCACAATCTCTAGAGTCACTTTCCCTAGTACCTCAAAAGCCTAGACAACGATCATTCTCTTCTGCATCAAACAATTCCATAAACACTAACACTACCATAGATTCAATAACACCAGGAAATCATCATTCGTTATTTAGAAAATTATCTACTGCTTCTTCATTTACAGATAGTGATTGGATATTAACTGATGACTTTGGGTTACAAGAATTATTAATACTTGTCAGATCCGGAGTAAATATGCTAGAATTAAAAGAAAGGAGAAGAAGTGGATGGCAAATACACGAAGATCCTGAAAAAATACTAAATACACTTAAACTCACGGATATCAGAAATGATATTAAGGGCATTTTTGATAATGTTAACAACGAATTGGATCAATTAGAACAAGTAAGATTGAAATTTTAACTTCAACATTTAATTGATTCTTTATTATTGGGTTTTTAAATCAAGGTTTTATTTGTATTAATCAATAAATTTTTTTTTCACACAGGAACTCGATAAACTTATGGATGATGCTATAAAGGCTTTCTAGCGTTAAGTTTAAAGTAATTTGGACAATATCAAAAAATATCAAATTAATAATTAGACCGTTATCCATTGATCGTGTCATTTAATAAGCAACTTGTATAGTAATTATATGTACTTCATAAACTTAATATCGGGTGTATAAATATTACCAATATTAATAAACTTCAAAAGAATATGATTGACTACAATAATGAGAATCTCAAAGTTGATCATTCTAAAAAAAGATTTATATATTGTTAATTCTAACAGATCTTTTTTTTTTACAATAATTCTTTATTATATTCGCGATTCCCATTCACTAATTTATCTATCAAAATATTGAACTTGAAAGAAATAATGCAGTAAACCATAAAGTGGAGGATACAAACCGAAAACTAGTATTCAACGGGATCATCTTTGCTATCATCTTTGCTATCAGCAATTTCTTCATTGGCCGCTGGCTCCTCAACGTTGATATTTCCCTCGTTATTACTTACCGTAGTTTCCATGGCTTCAGTAGCCGACGACTCTTTTGTATGAGCGTCATTTTCGATACTCTCTTTAGGTGATTTATTTTCATCTTTCTCCTCACGTTTATCAACTTCCATTTTACTTTCGTCACGTGTTTTAACAACTGGCTTTTCAATTTTATTGAATCCAGTAATTTCAAAATCATTAATGATATTGCTCTCTTCATTGTTTCCATTTTCACTATGAGATATTAATGATGATGATTCTAATGCCACTTGTCGTTTCTGTATTGCAATAGTTTGCACTACAGATTGAGACATTTTTACTGGAAGATAATACAAAGATGGCTGTGTATTTGTACGAAGAAAATTGGCAAGATTCTTTTTTTGTGTCGCCCAACAGATTCTCTTATTGAATTAAGGATTATTGAATTAAGTGACAAATGAATAAATATAATTACATATTACACAAAAAATAAATTAAATTATACATAATTCTTACCGCCTCATTAGTTCTTTTTTCTTCAGCTTCTCTTTTTTCCCTGACAATTCTTTCTCTCCTTTCTTGCTCTTCCTTTCTAATATTTTCCACCAATTCTTCGTGCTCCTTCTTTAGCTTCTCTTGCAGTTTTCGTTCAAGTTGTTCACGCTTTATCTCCTACATCGTCAATGAACCGACTTAAATGATATGATTCATTGATCTATAATCCATAAAAAAAAAAAACTAGATAATAGTACATACAGCCTCTGTTTTATTCTGACTTTCATTTTTAAATTTCGTTAATGTGTCTAATAACACACCAAACATCTTTCTACTTCGTTTCTTTACTTCTTTATTATTCATGTCTAATCGGGGCCTTTTTGTCTGTTGTATAAACAGTAAAATTTTTTTATTATTACTATTATTATTGTCAAATGCTATCTATATATCAAATTAAAATAATTAAAATTCAACCTCGTCATTGTTCTGACGAGCAAGTTCGTTACTAGCCCGTCGTTTTGGTAAAGCATCTTGGCGGCCAGATCTTTTTGAAGTTGTGGGAATTACGATGCTTGATGTTACAACTGTTTGACTGTTAATAATAATTCAAACTTTCATTAATACAACCAACAAAACAAAGTATATGGCTCTAAAAAAAATGTTGCCTTTTTTTTCTTTTCTTTGTTCTTACCTTGGGCCGCTTTCAGTATTAGTTTCAAATCGATCCGCAAATTCTGTAGCCATACTTTTGCGGTAAGCAAACAATTGTACGATTCGTTCTTTTACGCTTATTGTTTCACAGACAACAAATTGTTAACTAAATAGCTTATATTAACACTATGTATTTATTTACTTTTATGTCAGGCATAAGGAGGAAGCAAAGAAGCAAATACTAAGGACGTCAATATATATGTATAATATTCCTAATTTGGTGACGCGGTACTTAAATTGTCCCTAATACTATACATTTAATAATTAACGGTTTAAACGGTTCGGTTTAGTCTGTATTGCGAACCGGTGTACAACTCCATACTGTATCTATGAGCTTTTGATCATAAAACTATTAGATACGTACGTACGTTCGTTAATACCAGATACTGTACATACCAGGTATGTTAGTCCTTTCAGGAACTGATAACAACTTTCATTACGATATGCATAAATATTAGTTCAAAATTGGGAACATTAAAGCCATGTAACCGGCTATCTTCAAATTAAAAGAGCCTGTTTTCTCTCACATGACCATTTTGCTTGCTTAGTGTAACGTGATAGCATCATTAGAATCCTCCGCGACAGACCTCAAATTAGGACTGCTTTACAATTTGACTTATGCTTATAAAAATTAAATTGTTAATTATAAATGATATATAATTAATTTTTAAAAAATACGTGATATTACAGCTATTCTGTATCTTCCTCAGATGATTCTCCTTCTGTTTCATCTTTACTAGACTCTTTATTATTATCTTTTTCTGTTTTTTTTAACTCTAGAAACCGCAATTTTTTTTGTTTTATTTTCTGTGAAATCAGCATGTCTTAGAACTTCTTTTCTTTTTTTTTGCTTTTTTCATAGTTTTTCAATTATATCTAGAATATTTCATTTAGTCATATGATTTTTATAATTATATTAATTAAATAAAGTTAATTTATATAAAAATATAAAAATATATTAAAATTAGTATATAAATTTAAAACATATGCCAGATTCTCCTGGTATATCTTAAATTTTAGAATTATTTACAGCACTTTGTTTTTTAACAAACTAAAAAATTTGTATATAAAATATCAGTTATAAAATTAAAATTTTATAATAGTAATAAATTGTAATAATTATATAAGTTTTTCATTATCTTTTAGAACTTTTTAGTATACTATATTTTTTAGAAGTCTAGGAAAATTACAAGTTAATTAAATATAAAATTTAATTTATTATATTATTATTAAATTATAATAATTACATTAGAACCCAGAAGATTTAGATAATGATAGCTCTCTAACATCTAATCTAAGAGCTTTTAAATCTTGCAAAGCTGTGCAAGCCAGGCATATGGTGACCGCTGCAGAAGATATCTTCTATGTAGTTTCATCCTCAACATTACTAGCCTTTTATGATCCACAAACAATATCACCTTCATTAAATTTAACTAATCAGCTTTATATAAACCTAAATCTCTACTTTCAGACTCTGACCTAGATGATAACTTACAACACAGCCATGATGATCTACAACTCGAAACTATTACACAAATAACTGAGGATTTAGTAGAAATGTTATGGTCCAGTCTGATTCAGTCTTGGTCAAAAAGACCAGTCCAGGTAGTAGACTGCGAATCGGACCATGATAAACAGACCGGTCCATTAAATGGTCCAGTCTAAGACCAGTCCAAGACCAGTTTTCAGACCAGTTTATTTTAGCCAATAGAAATTTAGAATTTTGGCAAAAAAAATGCACGTACATATGTGTGTACAGAATACTTTATCTCTTAACAAATAGTATGTACAGTACTATAGTAAGGTTAATAAAATAAAGGATTTGTTAATCTCAAGCTTTATAATAATCAAAAAACAAGTCAAATCAGAAATTTCACAGAATTATTTTTTAAGATATTCATATATTAATATTCTTTAATGTTCTTATAAACAAGATATAAAGATAAGATATATACAGTATAATAATAATACAACTTTTTAGATCAAGAATCTAACTAAAGGATTAAGGGAATGTTTTTTTTTTTTTATATTTAATTTCTACCTACTTC